CTTCTTGGAGCCTCCACACACAAGACAAAGGCCCCAACCTCACAACTCAGAAGACTCAGCACCTTAACCTCACAAGGCAGCTCACCCAACTCAGAAAAGAAGGCTAAACATTCACCCCAAGACCCAACCACACTTAACCAAGGTGTTTAGATGAAGAAATCATGAAGAAAGGTGATGTCTTTGGAGGTTTCTAAGTAAAAACGAAAATGACCAAGAGAGGGGAAGGTGGCAGCAGCCAACTCACGCATACAAGGCTGGAGGATCAGCCTAGGGTTGTGTGCAACCCTCTATATAAAGCCACTTAAGCAATAAACACACAGTATTAACTTTAATTGCTACCCTTAGCATTTTAATCCTAAACTCAGGATTCTTAACCTACTCAATTTTACAAGAATTATCATATTTTTCTTATATTTTTCCGAGCACCTTTCCGGTACGCGCTTTTCATAGCCAATGTCAGTTTCTGGCACCAGTTCTCATTATTTTAACTTGAAACTCGTTTTACAAGTCCTACATGTTATTCTAGTAATTATCATGCACTTATTATAATTTTCCGGGAGAATTTTTTGGTACGCATTTATACCGACTAGCAGAATCGGTATCTGCACTTTTCTTTCGAAAAGCGACTTTCAGCATTCTTGATCACTTACTATAATTATTAAAGCCTCATAATAATTATTAGGGTCAATTATGGAATTATTTCGTAATTTCACATAATTAACTGATTAATTTCCTTAATTAACGGTGCGGGTTCTTACAAAAATCAACGGTTAGGGTTTGGTGTCAAATTTCAAAGTTTGAGATCGGTGTCAAAGGGATCCTGCCCATATATATATATATATATATTTGGTTTAATATCGTTCCTCAGTCACTTAAGATAACCTTATCCCGGGTCACTCCAAAACTATGTCCTTTTGGGAGTTAGAAAAATTAATGAAGGGTGGTTTAGTAAAATTCATATAATAAATAAACAAATAAAAATATCAAAATATTCTTCATTTATTCTCCTAATACCCTTCATTAATTCATTATCAAAATAAGGTTATATCAAGTAACTTCAGAAAGAATATATATATATATATATATATATATATATATATATATATATATAGAGAGAGAGAGAGAGAGAGAGTGAGTGAGAAACGTATATCCTTTTAAAGAATATAATTTTATGTCATTTTAGATTCAAACCGTTGATTTTCGTCAATCAATGTTTATAATTTGTTATGAATTACTGATTAATTAATAAGTATAATTCAATAAATTATAATTGTTGACTGACGAAAATTAACGATTAGGATAAAAAATGACTCAAAGTTATATCCTTTAAAAAGACAAATGTGTATGTGTGTGGGTATATGTGTGTATGGGTGTGTGTGTGTGTGAATTAACTTGCATATTTTTATATATGTACGGAAATTAATGATTAGGATCTAAAATGACACAAAATTATATCTTTTAATAAAACAAATGTGTGTGTGTGTGTGTGTGAATTTTTTTTATTTTATTTTTTTTGTGTACAATTTTTAAGTTGAAAAAAAAAAAGATTGATAAGTAAAGTAAATGTGCATCTGTACACGATGTATGTATTACTTATTGGGATTTAATTTTTTTCATGCAGTAGGAGAAAATTTTCTCATGTTATAGACATCTTATGTGGAGCTCACATCTATTAAATAAAAAAAATGCTACACAAAAATCGAAGGGTCATTGATAGGAGAAAATAATTCTTTTTTTTTTGGTAAACAATTCTTCTACAATATTAGAAAATGTTTTCCTTTATTTTAAACTATAAAAAGAGTGTTTCATAAATAAATGAAGTTCATTTGTATTTTCTCACATCATGTGTATAATTTTGTTATAATAATTCTACGGAAAAAAGAAGTATAATATTGTAGGAAAGTGTTTAGGTTATGTTATAGAAATAAAGATTGTGGGACCCACATTTTTTATTTTTTTGGTTTTTGAAAACAAGTATGGGTCCCACAATTTCTATCTCTATCACATAACCTAAACACTTTCCAACAAAATTATACTTCTTTTTCCCTAATTCTATAACTATTAAGTTACAGAAATGGTGTTCAAGAATTATGCTTACATGTAAGGGTGAAAGTGGGCTGGGCTAGACTAAGCTTTGCCCCAAAAAGTCCAAGCCTATGCCAATTTTTTTTAACTTGGCCTGGCCAAAGTCTAGTACGAGTCTAATTGTTAGTCTAACTTGGCTCGTTTAAAAAAATAAATGGCTTGGCCTAGCCCGTTAGCCTGTTAATTTTTAACTTCCAAGCAGAACCATGAAGCAACTTTACAAAATACTCAAATTTTGTTGCTAAACCAAAAATCATAATTTCAACGTCTAAACAGAATTATGAATCACAACAAAACTTATACAATCTGTATTTAAGTCACTTTCAAAAGCAAAATGCCCAAACTAAATAACATATATTTCATCAGATCCAACAAACAAATCCATATTTTGTAAATTAAAATAACTACATGAATCCAACAAACACATCATGGTGCTTGTAGTAAGTATAATATCTCCCAAAAATCTTTTAATATATTCATATATATACAATCTAACATGCCGAGATGTTGGTTCCTCCTACATAATAAATAAATTCAGATTTCTATTAAAATATAATCAAATATAATTAAGTTATAAATAATTGAAATTGATTAAATTTATATCTCTTATTTTTTCTTCAAGGCATACTTATTATCTACATAGCACGGACACGTTGGTTAGTTGAAAATTTACGTGTCGGACACGTGTCCGACACAGACACGCTCCGACACGCACGGACATGCGGTCAATATTTGGGGACACGTACGTGGTCAACTCTCGGACACGTTCCAATACGTTTTTCCGACACGCAGTTAACTTTTTTCGACACGCGGTCAACGCTCGAACACGCTCGGACACGTTTTTTTTTATTTTAATTTTATTTTGTTAACTAAATATAAAAGAAATAATTTATAAATTAATTTTTTCTGTTATGAAATTTGACATGAAAAATTAACAAAGTGCGAAAAATTATTTATATTTATGTTATGAAATTTAAATATTTGATTGGTTATATAACTTATTATGGACTCTTATATGTATTAAATATAATTATATTATATATATTAAAAATTTTATTTAATATCAAAACGTGTCCCAACGTATCGAAATATGACATTTTTTAGAATTAACGTGTTGGCGTGTCGTGTCGTGTCGTGTCCCGTGTCCCGTGTCCGTGTCCGTGCATCATAGCTTATTATATTTTGTTTTGTTTAAAATAAATAGTACAATATAAGTCGGCCTGTAGGTTTATAGGTCAGGCCTTGTGAAAGTGAGCCTACGACCTTTTTATTAAACAAGCTTTTTCAAAGCCCAAGTCTGGCTTATTTTACGAAATATACTAGGTCAGGTTTGGCCTGACGTAAGCCGAACCGTAGGCCCCTGTAGGCCGGCCTAGCCCAGTTTCATCCCTACTTACATGTGTTCATATTGAAGTGGTGGTTATGACTTTTAAAAATTAACTAATAATAATATTTCCTTCATAGCAATTTGTGTATGCGCTTTGAGAATTTATAAGAGAGTATAAAAAAAATTAATTTAATATAGAAAATAAAGAAAATATTTTTATTATATAAAAAATATTTGAAAAAAATATTTCTGCTTTTGTTGCAGAAAAAATTTATCTATCACACTCAAATAAAAAAAATGGATCTTATAAGTATTTTCTCTCTCTTTCTTTATATTGGGATTCACTCACTTTTATATGAGTGTGGTAGAGAAACATTTTTTGCAGCTAAAACAGAAACATTAAACCCAAAATATACATATGATAAAAAAAACTTAACTCTAAACTCCTTTGGTACCACCCACCGCCCATCGCTCTTCTCACTTGTGGGTGTTATATACAATTACATATCTTGTTCTTATTTGTTAGACATGTTTATGTTTGTCTTTTATTATTTTGTTTATTTCTAATTATTTATTTAATTATTTTTTATTGGAAATTTCTCATATAAGTTGATTGGTTGGTGGACATCCTCATCGTGCCGAGTTGCATTATTGTTATTCTCCTTGCATGATTTGTCTGCATAAATTTTGAATTATAACATACTTGTCACTTTAAAAATTGACTTCTAAATATATTTATATTTTATTAGTCTAATTTGATTGACTTTTTGTTAGTGGTTGCTTCTTTTATATTTAAATATCATGGTTGTTTATTCTTAAATTAAATACTTTTGTGTTCATTTTTTATTTGTGTATGTGTAAGCATGCATTTATAAAGTTTTGATTTATTTTAAATTATATTAAAATTAAATTTTATAATTAAAAACAAATACAATTCGATTCGATTATTTTTTTATTTTCAACAACATAGTTAAATTGTCAATATTTTGAGTTGTGTTCAACTATTGTCCAAAGTAACTATAATATATAATTTACATTTCATACAAACTTTGACATATGAGAATCTAATCCATACATTCAAGTAATGCATAATTTATCACAATGATATAATATATACTATCACATATTAAATACTGAAGAAGCAATTAAAGTATAAGAAATAAAATGTGAGAGTTAAGAAAAATGCAAATTCAATTTACCATAGTTTAGTCACCACCACTTGCGACCAACATCCATATTGCAAGTCGATCAAATTTTTTTTTCCATTGGTCAAGTTTCACAAGTGCTTGACAAACTACTATAACCTCCAAGCTTTTGGGTGCTTGCAAACCCTAAGTTCATTTATGTTGTTGCCACTTTGTTATTTCATTATTATTATTTTGTGGCTCCATCATATATCCTCAATCTTTACACATATGTGATGTTTGTCCTCTTGATGAAGAAATTTGTTTTTTTTGCCTTTTTATTATCATCAAAATATGTCTTTTATCGAGAACTTGCTCTTGAGGATGTCACATGGGTGAACAAAGATTCTGTTTTGATCTCTCTCTCTCTCTCTCTGAAAGTAAATCCCACCTATATAATACAGATGGAGAAAACTGTGAGAGAACCACCAGAGCGATCATCGGAGGAGGAAGACATACTAAAGCGAAGTAATAAACGTAATAAAGATCGTGGAGAAAAATTCTCACATGATGTATCAATGGTTCCTAGGGAGGAATCCTGGATGAAGGACCAAGAGGAGGGTCGAATTTCATGGAAGGAGATGCTGCAACGTCATAATGGAGAGAAGAATGATGAGGAGGGTGCTGATACTCTTGAAGGTGAGAATTTGCAGGGTGAACCAGCTGAGGAAGAAGACGTTAATTTTGGGGGCATAAAGATGTGGGTGGAAGAGGATGGAAAGACTCATTTTGGTTGCACTAAGAGAGGAAGAAGACGCTTGCATAGAGTGTGGGAAAAAGCTTTGATTGTTAAGCTGCTGGGCAGGTCTACAGGTGTCTCGTTCATGAAGAAAAAGATCGAGGAGCTATGGGGAAGGAAAGGAAAAGTGAACGTCACAGATATTGGGAATGAGTTTTATGTGGTTCAATTTAGTGATGATGAAGACATGGAATTTGCTCTAAGTGGAGGCCCTTGGGTTGTCCTAGGTCATTATCTGTCCTTACGTAAGTGGGAACCCAACTTCAGGCCTAATGCTGAGGGCATATCAAAGATAGCAGCTTGGATCCGCCTTCCTAATATTCCATTGGAATTTTATGATGAAGTTTTCTTTCGTAGGGTGGGTAACTGGATAGGGAAGTTAATAAAGATTGATAGGACTAAAAACCTTCATGCTAGGGGTCGCTTTGCAAGGATCTGTGTTGAACTAGATTTGGCTAAACCTTTAAAAGGAGAGTATGTTCTTGAGGGAGTTTTGAAGCATATAGAATATGAAGGTCTAGGGCTCATTTGTTTCAACTGTGGAAAGTATGGCCATAGCAAGGATTGTTGTTCTGAGATTGTTCAAGAACAGATCGTGGTGAATGAATCTCATCCTTCTGGGGATGGTGAAGCTGATAAAGTTGAAGATAACCGGAACGGTTTTGGCCCTTGGATGGTGGTTAATCGCCAACGCCGCCCTAGAAGCCAAGCTGCTACCCAAGATGGCAGAACGCCGATGACTTCGAGAAGAATCACTCAACGTGATTTCGGGGAGAATACTGCGCAATCAAAGCAGTTATCAGTGCAATCATATCAGCCTGTTTTAAATGCAGTAAATACAAAATCACGTTATGACAGTTTAATGGTGATTGGGGATTTGAATCAAGCTGAGCTGGAAGTGATTAATGAGGAGCCTAATCATGGGCATAATCCCAGCGTAATTAATGACCAAAAATCAAGGGGAATTGAGGGAGCCATCAGCGTAAAAAATAATGGCATCATTAATAGTGGTTTAAAAGGTTTTAATCGAAAAGATGCCTCGAGTCATTCTAGCATTGAATTGGAAGAACATGCAGATAGGTACATCCTTGTTGGGGGACCCTCAAATGATAGGGTAGCCTCTAAAAATGTTCCTATGCCTTCAAAAAAAGAGGATTTGGCCAATAATATAGGGCTACGTCATAAAGCTATTGCTAAAATTCAGAACCAGCATTTGACTACCCCTATGTTACTTGTAGATAGGCAAGTTGTGTTGCCTCCTGTTCAAAATACAGCAATGGAAGTGGATCAGAACGTGGGGGACCAAAGTGGAAGTGATAATGGTTTAAAATATCCTAAAGCTCCGGATCCTAATAGGACTTTGGTCACTACCCATTCGGATGCGTCTATTTTATCGCATCACATGGAGGTTGATAAAGGAGGTATAAATGAAGATAATGTTGAAATTGTTAAGGGGTCAGCAGGGTACCAGGAACCTGCAACCCTTATGGTTGATTGATGTCTTTGCTGGCTTGGAATTGTCGCGGGGCGGCAAAGAAAAGGTTTTTGGGAACCTTAACTAGTATGATCCGAAAACACAGAATAGATTTGACTGCTATTTTTGAACCTAGAATAAGTGGTGCGAAAGCTCAAAAGATTATTAAAAGAACAGGGTATAACAACTGTATTGTGGAAGAAGCTCAAGGTTTCATGGGAGGGATCTGGGTTTTGTGGAACAAGGAGTTCTGTAATGTTACGATTTTGGAAAAGAACATGCAAATGGTTCATTTGAAAGTTTGTTTTTCCGATAATGTTGCGTTCTTATGCACATTTATTTACGCCAATCCTAGAGAAGAGGTGAGACGTAGCCTTTGGCAGGATCTTTGTCGGATTGCTGATTCTATGAATGAGCCCTGGCTTATCACCGGTGATTTTAATGAAATCGCTTCCCCTTTTGAGAAACGTGGAGGTGCCCCGGTAGATTTATATAAATGTAACAGATTTGCTTCCTTGCTTACGGATCTGAAGATGATTGATTTGAATAGTTCCGGTTCGAGATTTACTTGGCGTGGTCCTCGTTTCCTGAATATGGATAGAGTTTTCAAACGGTTAGATCGTGCTTGCAGTAACGATTTATGGAGGGTTACATTTGAGGAGGGTCATGTTAGAGCCCTTCCTAGGTTAAACAGTGACCATAACCCCCTTCTTATATCCTTGTCTTCTTCAAAAGATGAGTGGAAGGATCGTCCTTTCCGTTTCCATTCCTTTTGGCAGGACCATATCATGTTCAATCAATTTTTAAAGGACAATTGACACGTGCATGGGAACATTGTTGATTGTTTGAAGGTTCTTACCCCTTGCATTAAGGAGTGGAATGAGAAGGTGTTTGGGAATATTAAGCATAGGAAGAATAAGTTGATGAGAAGACTTGAAGGTATTCAAAGAGCCATTTCTGAGCACAATAAAGATTATCTGGAGAAAGTGGAGTGCAAGATCAAAGCTGAACTTGAGGAGGTCCTTGATCAAGAGGAGTTATTATGGTATGAAAAGTCTCGAACTCAGTGGATTAATCAAGGTGACAGAAACACGAGATACTATCATACAAAGACTATTGTCAGAAGGAAAAGAGGTAGAATCGTGGAACTCAAGGATGATAATGGAAGTTGGATTCGTGAAGAGGAAGGCCTGGTTAAGATGATCCGCGATTTTTATATTAATCTTTTCAAAGATGAAAGCTGTCATCGTGAGTGGATCAATACTAGATGGCCTATTGTTCCTGAGGAAGTCATGGATAAATTAAGGGTGAGTGTTACTAAGGAGGAAGTTAAAAAAGCTTTTTTCACAATGAAAGGCTCAAAAGCCCCAGGGGAGGATGGGTACATAGCTGCTTTTTATCAAAAGAACTGGAATCTGGTAGGTGATCAAGTCTGGAATGCTTTCCTAGCTTATTTGGAAAACCCGCAAACCATTGCTGATATTAATGGTACGATTATTACCCTTATCCCAAAGGTTAATAAGCCTACATTGGTTTCTCAATTCAGGCCAATTTCCTTGTGCAATGTGATTTACAAAGGCATGAGTAAAGTTATAGTGGGTAGACTGAAGGAAGTAATGGAAGCTTTGGTTTCTGATAACCAAACCAGCTTTGTCCCAAACAGAAACTTGCAGAATAACATTATTGCAGCTAAAGATATTGTCCATTCGATGACAAAGTTTAAAGGTAAGATGGGTACTATGGCCATTAAAATTGATTTAGAGAAAGCCTATGATAAGCTGAATTGGTCGTTTATTCGTAAGGTTATCTCTGAAATACAGCTTCCGTCTTGGATGGTTGAATTCATTATGGCGTCTATCACAACTAATAGTTTCAAAGTGCTTGTGAATGGGGGCTTGTCTGAAACTATTATTCCTGAACGTGGAATTCGACAGGGTGATCCATTATCCCCATACATCTTTGTCTTATGTGTTGAAAAGCTATCTCATCTTATTGCTCAAAGGGTTGGCAGTGGTGTGTGGAAACCGATCAGAGTGTGTAGAGGTGGTCCAACAGTCTCCCATCTCATGTTTGCAGATGATATTGTCCTTTTCTCTGAAGCTTCGGTGCAGCAAATGCAGGTAATAATGGAGTGTTTAGATCTTTTTTGCAGAATGTCTGGTCAAAGTATAAGTGTTCATAAGTCTACCATTTATTTCTCTTCCAATACATCTGATGCAACTGCAAATGCAATTTCTGCGCTCTCTGGGTTCAAAAGAGTCAGTAGCATTGGTAAATATCTGGGCTCTTTTATCAGGCAAGGGCGAAATTTGAAATCAAATTATGCTGATCTAATGGATCGGGTTCGTAAGAAACTTGATGGATGGAAGCATCAAAGTTTATCTTTTGCGGGGAAAGTCACTCTGGCTAAATCAGTGATTGGTGCTATTCCCTCTTTTCATATGCAAAATGGTCTTCTTCCCACTTCTGTGTGTGATGAGATTGAACAGCTTCAACAGAACTTCATTTGGGGTATTAATAAAGCTCATTTAGTGGCTTGGGACACAATGTATAAGCCGAAGGAAATGGGAGGTCTTGGTATTATCAGATTGCGTACTCAAAATGAGTCTTATATTCATAAGTTGGCTTGGAAAATCTTAACTGACAAGGAGGAACTTTGGGTTAAGATTTTGAGAGCCAAGTATGGCAGAGGTAAAGATTTGAGGCGTGAGATAAGCTCTAAGCCTTATGATTCTAAACTTTGGCGGGACCTTTCTAAATGTTGGAACAGTTTTTTAGCCGGTCTTCGATGGGAGGTGGGTGATGGAGAGACTATTAAATTCTGGGCGGATAATTGGTTGAATCTGGATGATAATCTTTGTAATTTAGCTCCTAATCACATTCCTGATCTGGAATTGCATAGATCCATTGCTGAGATCTTTCAGCATGGTACCTGGGATGTTCGATATTTGAAGCAATTCTTAAATGATGAGCTAATCTCTAAGGTGTTTTGCGTTCCTGTTGCTTTGGAAGATAATACTGAGGATAAGTTAGTTTGGTGTCAGAATCATGTGTCCTCTTCCTTAGTTAAGGTTGCCTACTTGAACTTGATGAATTTTCAACATGCTCAAAGGAATGTTCCCTGGAAGAAGATTTAAGACTGGAAGGGTCCAGAAAGAATCAAGACTATGATGTGACTGGCTTTTCTTAATAAGCTTCCAGTTAGGAGTCGTACATGCAAATGGAATGGGGGTCCTAATTTTTGCATTAACTGTCCAAACAGTGAAGAAACTCTTATTCATGTCCTTAGAGATTGTTCTCAAGCCAAAAGATTGTGGATAGATTGGTTTGGGAGAAGGGTCCCCAACGATTTCTTCACATTAGACCTACAGCCTTGGCTCATAAAAAATGTGAGTAAGGGTTGGAATTATCAAATTCATGTTGATTGGAGAGATATTTTCTATACTACTTGCTGGAATCTTTGGAATTGGCGTAATCATCATATTCATGATGATAGTTTCCGAAGGCCAAGCAATGATAAGCGTGTCATTTCTGATTTTATTGCGCATGTAATTGAAGCTAGAGGTAAGAATAGAAGCATTCTTGGCAGCTTCCCTAATGCCCATCAGCCTACTAAATGGTGTCGTCCTGAACCTGGTCGGTTGAAGATTAACACAGATGGTGCTTCTTCCTTATCTAGGCAGCATGCTAGCTGTGGAGGCCTTGCTAGAGATCACAATGGTGCTTTTCTGGGTGGTTTCTCTTTCAGATTAGGTTTCTGTAATCCTCTTGATGCAGAACTCTGGGGTATCCTCAAAGGCTTAGAGCTGGCTTGGGGTACTGGTGCTAGGAGAGTGGAGTTGGAATGTGACTCAGAAATTGCTCTTAGCACTATCCAAGAAGGGAGCAATAATCACAGAAACTCTCAGGTTGTTTCCCGTATTCACAAATGGCTTGCTGAAGATTGGGATGTTTGTTGGGTCCACACTTTTCGAGAAAATAACAGATGTGCTCACTGGTTTGCTTCTAGGCATTTTGAGGATGATAATAATCTTATTGTTTATCATTCTCCTCCTTCTCCTTTGTTAGAGCTCCTTCTTCAGGATGCTTCTGTAGATCTTTTAAGTTCTCGCGTCGTGTAATTTTTGTTTTGTTTGGGGCTTTTGCCCTTCTTTATTACAAAAAAAAAAAAAAAAAAAGATTCTGTTTTGATAGATGAGGAAGGACATCTCGTTCTACAAAATGATAAAGTTGCTGCCTTTACTTGTGTATAAATTCATATACTAGTTGGTAACTTTGTACCCTTTCTTGTGTTCATCCTGCAATATATTGTATTTCAATACAGTTCTGCTTTACCAAAATTTGATAGGTTGAATGAGGAGAATCATATAGTGTCATTCAAGCAAACTTTTTGAGTTAGATATAACTTTTGATATCTTAATCATGACAATAATGTTGTCCCAACGCGCGCGCCTAAAGTTAATATGTTTTTATCGGTTAGACAAATTAAAATGCGAGGTCTTTGGACTGTTCATTCCCCTTGTCAAACCAGGCAGATTCTTCTTTGATTTTCTCTTACATCAAGAAAGTGACTCAGCATCCAACGAATCAACTCATTTAATCATATTTATTTTTTCAACTTTTTTACATTTTCCTTTCTTATTAGTCAATATAATTGCGACATGACTTGCATGTTTTGTTTGCGATTAGTTTCTATTGGTTGAGCTAGAGTTATATCGTTCATCGTGTTACAACTATAGTTAGTTTGATTAGAAAATAATTGTTTTAATAAGTCAGCATAGTAGTTAGATTAATTTGATGGGTCAGTGTAATAATCACTAACTTATTATTCTTTTATATATCATGAAAGAGTACATGGACCTCGTCGTTGGAAATCTCTTTTCCCTTGCACAAACCCACTTGTGGAAAATTTTTTGGGTATGCAAGGATTTTGTGCTTCTCCCGTTAAGAGGATGACATGTGAATTAAAAAAAAATTATTCTCTTCTCTCTTTTCTATTTTTTCCTTTCTCTCCTAATTTTATTGGTCTGTCTCACCCAATAACAAATGATCTGGGAGCACTTAAAACATCTTTCACTTGTGATGGTGGAGACAATAATTATTTTGATTCACATTTTGTACCTCATTATTTGGGAATATTTGTATATAAATCATCTCCAATAGAAGAGGTATATAATTCCTAGTATTTTTGTGTTATCATTCTGCTGGATTTTAGAGCCATCATTGCCTCACACATCCCCTCTCTCAGCCATACCTGCAATCATAGTAGTTAAAATTGGGATTTTACCTAAAATTAAAATGAGAATAAAAAAATCATAAAACGTAAAATTCTAACGTAAAAAAGATCGTAAAAAATCGTAAAATCATTTAAAATTTTGGTAAAATCGTTTTGATTAAAAAAAATCATAAAATCATAAAATCACATATTTTAACTATCATGCCTGCAATAACTCTTCTGGTGACTCTCCTTGAACTTAGTCTATATCATTATTTCTTTAAACATCCGCATATTGACATATTAGGACATGTTTGGTGCATAGTATAGGATAAGGCCTGATAGTATAAGGTCTGATTGAATTATAATACTATCCAGCGTTTGACACGGTATTGTATAAAATAATATATTGTATAAGATAATATCATATAGTATTTGGTAATGCACTATATAATACTATATATGATAAAAATAAATATTTTTAATAAAATTATCCTTTAATAAAGAATTTATATAATTCTTCAAAAAATGTCATATGATATTAATTTTTATAAAAATTTATTGATCAGTGTGTCCAAAATATAAATTAATTTTTATAAAAATAAAAATATTCAATATTTTAAAAATTAATATATTGAAAAATTAATTTTTATTTTAATAGATTAATATTAAAATAATATATTAATTTTTGAGAATTACATTGGTCAATGATGTTAATACATCAATCTCTTATCAGGCCTTATCCCTCACCCTTAGGCCGGATTAAGTTATACATCGTTTTGATGTATTAAGGGATTATGCTGTATAAGCTTATACTATACGATGGTCACACCAAACAACTGAAAATGTCATAATGTATAGTATAAGCTTATACTATTATGCCTTATACGTCACACCAAACAAGCCCTTAAACTCTTCGTGCAATACAGACCTGGCTTTCTTAGTGCCTGTTTGGATTCTCTCTTTTTTAAAGTTAGAAGCTACTTATAAGTATAAGTTAGGCCAAGCAGGTTTTGGGAAAAGCTCTTATAACGAAAAACTCTTCTTTTTTTTTTTTTTGATAACAAAAAACTCTTTTTTTTTATAATGAAGAAAAAAGCTGAAAACTAAAAGCTCTTAGGAGGAGTTTTTTTTTTAGCTCTTATCTGTTTTTCTTGAATTGTGTGTTTTTTTAAAATGAAGAGTGATAAAGATGGAGAGAGAGATAATTTTTTTGAAACATTGTGTTCACAAACATTGTGTGTTTTTAAAATTTTTATGTAATTTCCAAACAGCTTTTAGTTTCTTTTTTAAGCTTTTTTTTTTTAGTTTTAGCTTATAAGTAGCTTATAGCTTAAAAATAAAAGGATCCAAACAAGATCAACCCTCTCGGGCTTTGTGCCATTGTGTTCACAAACAAGCTTTCATCCACCTCTTCTGCCCACAAACTGATATCTACAGTTGGTTTAAAACTTGAAATTGCAAAGGGAGGTTCGAAGGTGAGACAAAAATTAAGGGAAGCAATTTTCCTTTTCAAATAGCAATAATGTTGAGGACAATTAAATAATTTCAAAAACATTCTGTAAAATTTAACAATTAATTTGGAGGATAGGTTGCTACAGCAAAAAACTCAAATAGAAGAGTAAAATTTGTTTTATATTTATGAATCGATTTTATTTTTAAACTGCTCATAAACCGTACAAATGTATTTTGTACAAAACATACTAAAATATAGACGGAAAGATATATTTACAAAAAAAATTTATAAATTTTTACAAATTACACTACGTACCATTAAGAGAACATAGTATAACCTAGTGTTCTCTTGGGAGTACATAGTGTAATTTGCAAGAGTTTATAAACAAAAAATTTGTAAATATAATCCTTCTCAAAATATACTACTATGATGCATACATTCTTCGAAGTAGGACCTAAATTATTATCAAGGAGTACGATATTCTCATTGCGTTTCATCATCCAGCTAACGCTACGCTGGATATTTGTTAAGTGATCCTAACCTAACAAATGACAATATGTTCTTTCTATGCCTATCCCCACCCCAAACCCAAACTCCCCACCCTCCAAAAAAATAAAATAAAGAGAAATAGAAATAGAAAATTAGTCTTCCTTTTATGGAGAAAAACTTCAACCCAATCAATGTCATCAACAAGAAAGCACAATATCCTATCCTATCTAATTTTTTTTTTTTTTGTATAATATCCTATCTAATTTTATATATATAGAAAGAGAGAATGTACTCCCAGTTTTACATTGATTTATTTGTATATAATAATTCACGTAATTAGAAAAACAGAATCATTAGGTATAAGTGAAATTAACAACTAAAATAATTCTGATCCGTGTATTATTATTATTATTAAACAAAATCTCGTTATACATGCTTCGTTTAAAGTGCCTCTTTTGCAAAAACCAAACATAGACTAAGCGATGTTGGTAGAGGCAAGCTTAGCTCCACAAGTAGAAAAGGACATTGGCGAAACCGTATTTAGCTCCCCATATCCATTCTTACTTGGCTGAAAAGTCAAAGGAACACATGGTTTGCCCCCATAAAAGTGGATATGATAGCACACATAGTGAATGCAGCCAGAAAGAGACAAAACTCCAAATGGCATTAAGACATTGGCACAAACTAAATGTTCCATTTTTCACTTTGTTCCGATATTTCCCAAACCAAACGGTCCAAACTGTCAAGAGTCAAGACGTGTAATTTTCTGAATTAATTCACATGATAATGAAATCTGGATAGAAATAAATATTACCAAGAAAAATAAAAAATAAAAAATAATAATAATATTTGGATCTAAAAATGCAAACGATGTTGAAGGGTGTGTGGAGGAGTCATTAATTACAGCTCAGCAACATGGCTTTAATGCTTTGTTTTCAATCTTGTGGAGGAAGAGAACATTGAACCCACAACACTGAAAGTGACGTTATAAACAAGAAAGTTTACATTTTTACAGCTTTTGAAAACACAGACATAGTGAGGGAGAGAGCCCCCACAGTTCTTATCATTAAGAAAAAATTAACACTTTGTTTGTTTGTTTTTGGGTCGCAACTTTTTTTTTTATTGTCTCTTTTCAGAATCTCATTCCAATTGGCGTTTCATCCTCTAAAGTTTGACCCTTTGAGATTTCCTTTTTCTCAAATTAAGCAGAAAGTTTCATCTTTGGCTTCACTTGTACGCTGTTTTGCAAGTTTGAGTCTCAAATTTGTGATTTTTTTTCATGTGGGTGTTTTTGGTTTTGATTTTTGGATTTGTGTTTTTTGTGTTGAAAGGGTGAAGGTGGTGTTTGGAATCTTGGAAAATGGGTTTGATTTCTGGGATTTTTATGGGGATGTTATTTGGCATCGCATTGATGGCAGGATGGGAGCGCATGATGAGGTATCGAAGCGCCAAGCGAGTTGCGAAGGTATGAATGATGGTTTTGTTTCATCTCATTCATTGATATCAGAAATGACTGATGATGTTCTATTTGCATTGACTTTGGTTTTTGTAATCAGTATTTTAAGGATGGTGTGGATTTCTCTGTACTAGGCTATGTTAAGAAAAATAAAGAAAAAAAGTTGATGAATTGAGAAGTAATCAGTGGGTGAAATTTCAATTTTGAAATGAAAAATTGGGTTATCATTGGATTCATGGGACTGCCAATAATCTACTAGCGAATTTTAATAAATCTTAAAATGTAGGAGGGGTGTAATCACTGTGAGAATGGATCACATAGGGCAGAAATACTGCGTTTGCATAATGAATACTGTTTGTGGTGAAACATGATTGAATGAAACATTATGGCTCAATTGAAATTGGTGGGAAAAGAGAACAGAGTATTTGATTTTGTTAAGCAATTGGTTTGAACAACCTTAAGAAGATACTCCATCAATTTACTGAATTTCTGTCATCCGGTTAAAATCATAAGCAGACCCTTGTAAGTAAAAGCTCTGGCTTAGAAAGCCTTTTTTTTGCAGTTAAATACAATCCCCCACTGCCTTCCACTATGAGTGTAGGAAGTTGAGACCTCAGACCTCCAGGAAAATAAAAACCTCTGGTATGCTATTTCTCTTTATGACTAAAGGGCAAAAGGGCAAATTCCGGTGCACAAGGCTCCCTAACTTGTGAGATTAGGGATGAAAGTCAATTGTACACAATCTTACTCTTACATTTTTACAAAGAGGCTGTTTCTCAGACTTGAACCAATTACAAGGAGCAACCTTATGCTACTCCAAGGCTTACTCTCTATTTATGACTATTAGACCCTAATTTAAACTACTAAATTACCCTTAGGATTAAAATACTAAAATGCATTTTGTCTGAAAATGTTACAATTAACCTCAATAACAACATTGAACCAAACTAATGACATTTGTGGATGTTTAAACTTATGAATTCTATTTTTTTTCTGCCTCCTGTATGAGGTACAGTTGGGTGCAATGCATGAGCATTTTTCTGTTCTCTGAATTTCGCTTGGCATGTCCAAGCTATGATGCACCTGAATATTATTCACCCTCCACATTGCACAAACTTACATTTTTCATGGGTTGATATTTTATCATGAAATGAATTGAGAAGTGAACAAATCAAGATGATGATGTAGGACTGACTCAGAAGACCTTACTTTAGTTAATGCCTACCTTTGGTCACTGATAGAATCAAGCACTCTAGGGAGATTGTATTATTCGAAACTGGGGAAAGGAAGACAAAAAGCGTAAGAGAAAATGCTCCCCAGCCAAGGAAAATTCCTTAGGCCCCAAACTACAAGATGAAAGTTCCCAAAAGTAAAGCCCCTTCCGCTTCAGATTCCTCTTTTATCAGATATATGTTCTCTCTATGCAAATAACTTTTATGCGAATACCTTTTCTCTCCTTATTACAATTAACCTTTAGTCTTAGGCCTACAGGTGTAAACTTGAAAGGCTTTCTTGGGCCCAACCACGGTTCTATTAGCTTCTTTCTTATCCTTGTTATTTTTTCCAAGCCTGGAGCAGTGGTAAAACTGCTCCTTTGTAACTGAAAAGTCATAGATTCGAATCTGGGAAATAGCCCCTTTTCAAATATGCAAGGGTAAGGCTGTGTACAAGTATTGTCTTCATTCCTACCCTTTCTAGTTGGGATTCAATATGCAGTGGTTTTTATTCCCTTTGGATGATATAGAAGCTAGTGAACTACAGCCTCTTTTATTCTTGCCCAATTAAATTTTATTTTGTGCTTATTCCTAAGATAGGGTCGTTTGAATTTTGGATTGTTCAGATGAACTTGTAAATACTATATTCAGTTTCTAAACTCCTTTCATAAGAATCAAAGTTCCCTTCTTGACAATCTCATTTGAAAGTCCAAATCTCCCCCTAAAGGTTAAGTTTTTTGTTGGAATAGTACTTAACAGGATTTATACTAATTACTTGTTGGCTGTTGCTTAATCAGAGGCCTCACTAGGCCCCTTCTCCTGATATTTGTGTTATGGGAAGAACCAACCTAGAAACTGTAACAATCTTTCCATGCATTGTGAACTAGCCACTTTCCTTTGAAACAACCTTTATGGGGTTATTTATAAGCATTTAGTGTTTCTTTCATCTTCGGAGCTCTTTTTGATGGTTTTCAATAAAGGTTTTGGCCAAAACAAGGAAGCTAAAATTTTGTAGCAGTGTGCTGTGTATGCAATCATTTGATGCATTTATGCTAAAAACAAGAATGCTTGCATATTTTTGTTGTATCTAGTTTTTCTATGTTTTGGAGGATATCTTATCCTCACCCTAGTTTTTTTCTTTCTCTGTGCTTTATAATAAAGTTTATTTTTCTATTGATAAAAACAATTTAAGTTGTACAAGATAAAAACAGTGGGTGGGGTGGTGGAATCTAAGGAATGTGATTGCTGGAACAAAGAGGATGGAGAGAGTTGACATTTTAACTTGCTAGTCAACTTTCAAAATTATCATCAAGTTCAACTCAAATCTCAATTCTTAATCTGAAAGCATAATCCATATGCATGTATGCATGCATGTGTTTTTTTTTTGTGTTTGCTGTTTTTTGTTTCCTTTCTCTTCTTGAATCCTGCATTAAGGAAAGCAGAAGGGAATTTTGGTTGCCATAATTCATGAATTATTAGAATTAGAACAAAAGGTATATCATGTTTTGCAATTGTTTGTCATGATTCATGGTTTGATGAAGTCGTCTCTATTGTGAAATTGCATAGTGATCTATTATAAGATAGTATAAATGGAGTATGATGGGAGGGAAACTTCGAATCAGAAATCTTGGCTTGTTGAATAACATCTAATACTTTTCTCTGAGTACAATGAGTTACAAGCTTATCAATTAATTTATCTTTTTTTGTCATAAGCCAACCGTATAGCCTAACTGCACCCTTTCCTTGTGCCTGTGAACTTTGGCATGGATTCTGGATCCTGGATCTGTGTCCATTTAACCAAAGCATTGAAGAAAGACAAGAAAGGGGGGGTGTCATATTATGATGAAAACTATGACTTTAACAGGAATATCATATTGAACCGTCTTCTAAGCTGGCCATATTTTCTATTTTGAAAAATGTCCCGTTTTGATCCGTCGATATTTTTTTTTTTGTGTCTTAATGTTAATTATTTATTTTCTTTGCAGGCAGCTGACATTAAAATCCTTGGATCCCTTAATAGAGATGATTTAAAGAAAATTTGTGGGGATAATGTTCCTGAATGGATATCTTTTCCTGTATATGAGCAGGTGAGATTTTGAGTTCTAATATTACTTGGCGTTTGAAATGATTTTATACAGTGCATTTCTAATATGATTGTGCTCTGTGTTTGACTCTTCATTGCATGGCCTTTTTCAGGTGAAGTGGCTAAACAAGCAGCTTACCAAACTTTGGCCATTTGTGGCAGAAGTGAGTATGCTTACATGCTCATTGTGTATTTGTACAATAATTTACAACAATTTGTGGATTGTCACCCATTGATTTCTTACAAGAGTTGTTATATATGTTAGAAATGTTTCCCTCGTTTCTGTAGTTGGCCATCCTATATTTTATTTGTAACAATAATTAAATTGCTTATTTATTCTGGTATCAGAGTATATTGCTTTTGTTAGAGATATATAAAACCATTAATGTAGCCTCACCCAACAGCTTAAGCTTTTGGGTTTAATTGGTTCTTTACATGGTATCAGAGCCCGAGACAACCGCCCCCCATTTTCTTTGTGAAATTTCAAGCCCAATGGGCTCTCTTGTGAGCGGGCGTGTTAAGAATATATAAAACCATTAAAATGTAGCCTCACCCAACAGCTTAAGTTTTTAGGTTGAATTGGTTCTTTACAGCTTTTAACCCATTTGGGTTGTTTGAAAGAAAATTTCTCCTGAAGTATTAGCTATCACGTGTTTATATGACTCTTGCATATGAAGCACCAATACTTACATTCCCTTGACATCAATATCAGATATGTATCCAATACTAATATTATCCAAGCCAAATTTAAAAACCCACCACTCCCCATTCAACCCTGATTAGGGAGGGTAGGGGTGAAGACAATCCTTATATGAAGTCTTACCCTTGTACCAAGCCAAATTTAAAAAACAAAATATTTGTCTACCCTTTCATCTGAACACACACAACTCTTCACTTTCTCTTGCACAACTTTTCAGTTTTCTCTGGCTGTCTGGCATGACACACAACTCTTTTCATCTTCTGTTCTCTGCCAAAGTTCCTATATTGATGCAATATCTTCTGTCCTCTACCTAAGTCCATTTCAACACGTGACTCTTTTCATCTTCAGGTTGCTGCATAGTTGTGGCTTTGAAAGTTTGCTGAATATTTTTCTTCTTTCACTAACAAGTTTGCTGCATGATTGTAGTTTCCTTCAATCATATTTTTATTCCAAAGGCCAAACACACAGCATCGTATCCGAAGTGCACATTAGGTCAACACTATGAATTCAAATATTAATCTGTCTTGGCAGAGATAAATCTTATTTCCATGAATTTTTAAATGGGTTCTGAAAATAATTGTAGAGATGACTGTCAATGGAACACTATAGTTTGCTGCGTTACTTTTCAATAGCATAGTTCTAGTTAAAAGATTGTGCTTTTTTTAAAATAAAAAAAATAAAAATAGAAAACCTATTCCAGTCCATTAATTATGTTTTATGAATTTTTTTATGCATATCTATATACACATCCTAGACCTATCATATCCTTCATTTTTCAAGAACAGCTGTATCGTTGCATTGATACGTCTCTATTAGGTACACATTGATACCCATATTGTATATGTGTGTGAATAATAAACATGCTTACTTTGTGGGGCTAAAATTCAACTTATTATTAGAAGAATGAGGTCAGCTAGGAGTATCATGCCATGAACTATCCATCCCTAAAGCTTAAACTATTAGGCAAAGACACGTGAATGGTGTTATATTACATCTTTAAGAGTAATTAATCTTTCACCTTTCCAAGAATAGCATTATATCAGCTTCTTGAATGTAATGGTTTACTTTAAATATCACCATGTTTTGAGGCTTGAAGAATAATACTCTTAATGTCAAAAGCCCTGAGGTGCTTGATTCTTCTGCTGCATCCACTTTGTGTTTGAAGTTAGTAGTTACGAGTAGCCCAAAGAGGAAGCATGACTGATTTACAGAACACATGCTATGGGTTCAATTAGAGATTGTTTGCTAGCATGTAGTGCTGGGCACATTAAAACTATCTACTGACTAATAAAAATTAAGCATTCGGAAACAGTAACTAGCCTTTATTCGGCAGTTACAAAGGTATGTTACGTGCAAGGCTGCCCCCAGTTGCACATGCCAGACATATATTTTCCTTAGAATCTGAAGGATATATACATAATTTCCTTTGTATAGTTAAAATGCTTGAGGTCAATGCCACTTTTGCAATCCCTATTAGTTCATATATCAGAGTCACAACCCTTTTGTCATATCTCAAGGGTACCCCAATATATGTTTTCCTTTTCTGATTCTCCTGAATCACTCTTCTTCTATTTGTATTTCCTCTTCATCTATCTCAAAAAAATTTCTAATATACCTATATTCTATAGAATATGCACCTTGCTTTGCTTAGACATAAACTCCCTGTCCCCTTGTGCTCACGCTTTAGGAGACCTTTTTACTTCAAATTTCTTTGCAAATCTTCAAAGGTGTATTCCTACTTTGCTTAAATAGCTGACTTGATCGTGATGGATTATCTACTTTAGGCAGCAACTATGGTGATCAGAGAATCTGTTGAACCACTACTGGAAGAATACAGACCTCCTGGGATTACTTCATTGAAATTCAGCAAGCTGTCACTTGGAAATGTGGCTCCAAAAATTGAAGGTATCAACCAATAGTAATTCCTCTGCACATTCTGTTCCCCGGTTAATTTACTACTGCACTCAAGGAATGTATAAATTATGATAATGAGGTTGCTCTATTGGTCTATTTTGACAACGTTTCTTTTATACTGCTTCATATGTTAAAACATTTGTGAAGAACTTTTGCAGAATCATGTTTTCCAAGTTCTTGATGTCCATTTTTTGTTCCCCCCCACCCTCAAGTCAAATGCCAAACTAAGTTATATATCTTAAAAGGGGATAAGCTTGCTTTTGGTATTTAAAAAGTAAATATTCCTCTAGTATTTCCGAATAATGACTTTTAAAGGGGCAGGCTTGGTATCCAACAATATTGTTTTACTGATTTTATATGTTCTAATCTTTCTTATAAACTCTGCTTTTAATCTCTACTTCCTTTTGACACTTATTTAGCTAATTTAGTTGGAGGGGGAATGTCCATATTTTCAAAGGGTATCTCTTTTCCCTTAATATTTTGTGGGATTGGATTCTTTTGATTGATTCTTTTTGGTGCTTTTCTCATAGTTGTTTCGATGGAATTTCAATTACTGATTTGCAGTCAGATTGGGCATCTATGGTGCATTTTTTAGCCACATTTGCTCATTGTTTTCTTCTACTGTTTTCCTCATTGAGAATTTTATGTCCTCCCCTGATGTACATTCTTTCTTTTCTCTCTTTCTTTTAATATATTCTTCTATCATTGAAGAGAAAAATTGTTTCTTTTTAAAATTCTTTGTAGGTATTCATGTAAACCTAACTTGCCTTTATAGCACGCTCTAAATTTGTTGAGAAGTATATATAAACCATTGATGGGTCTTCACTTAACAATTTAAGTTTTTGGGTTGAATTGGTCTTTACATTGTATCATAGCCTCGTGTCCCAGGTTCGACCCTTATCTCCCCCATTTTCTCTTGTGAAATTTCTTAGCACGGTAGGTGGGCCTGTGCATTATCCACCCTTCATGCTCAATGGGCTCTCGTGTGAGGGGGCGTGTTAGAGAAGTATATATAAACCATTGATGGACCTTCACTTAACAGCTTAAGTTTTTGGGTTCAATTGGTTCTTTACAAAATCTAATGCACAATCACAACCAAAAAATCGTAACATAAAAGAAAAATCCCTTCATAAATTGCAGCCTATACTTGTTTTCCCTCATTTCAAACTTGTCTTCTAGCCTTAGCTACAGCTGCTAAGCACCAAACCAGGCTGGATCATTGTTGGAGCCATGTTGAAAACTTTTGAGCTAATGAAAATTTTATTGTTAAAACAGGTTTTACTGACTTGTAAATAGTAGTGTTAATGTGTGACTTTGCTTGACTTGCCAACATTCGGCAACTGTTTGCATGCTTCGTATTGAGTGATTGCTGTTATGAGAAGTTGAGATGATAGAAGCCATTTTATAATAAATTTAGAGGGAGGAGACCAGGATGTTTGTTAACTAGTTACTTATTTTATATCTATGGTACATCCCGTTCCATTATATCTTTTCAAAATCGGGGAAACAAGTTATTATTTCATTACTATTAGGGTCAATAATTTAAATTGGTCTTGGAATTCAAGTTAATCTGTCTTGAATCAAAGGTAACTGTAAAGAACCAATTCAACCCAAAAGCTTAAGCTTTTGGGTGAGGCTACATTAATGATTTTATATATCTCAACACGCCCCCTCACACGCGAGCCCACTGGGCTTGAAGGGTGGACAATGCACAGGCCCACCTACCTGTGCGAAGAAAGAAACTCCACTAGAAAGAAAGTGGGGGGCGGTGAGGATCGAACCTGGTACACCGAGGCTCTGATACCATGTAAAGAACCAATTCAACCCAAAAGCTTTAAGCTTTTGGGTGAGGCTACATTAATGATTTTATATATCTCAACAGTAACTATGGAGGTAATGGATAAATAAAAGAAATGTGGCTTTTAATGTGGTCTGAGGATAACTGGAATCAAAAAATATTTTAGTTTTGTCTTGCACAACATAAACCTTGTGACAATAATTTCTATGTAAAAATATATAAAAATGCAGTATTGATGAGAATGTTATCAAACTGCTGACTTAGACACACAACATTTGGTACGACTGATTAAAATGTTATATAAATGCAATTTTCGTAGCACTCTTGTTTTTCTTTACCTTTGTCAATTTCTCTATTAAATTATTTTGGATGTCAACAATTTATGTATGCATAATTTATCCATACAGGTATTCGTGTTCAGAGTCTTAATAAAGGTCAAATCATAATGGACATTGATTTCCGTTGGGGTGGTGATCCCAGTATTATTTTGGCTGTTGAAGCTGCACTTGTTGCATCGATCCCTATTCAGGTTAGATGTAGCAGAGTATTTTTCTTTTGAATTTCATCACATTCCTTTTACAACGTGTCAAAATTTGAGTTCTATTGCTTTTTGCTTCAGTTGAAGGATCTAGAAGTTTTCACCATTATCCGTGTTATATTCCAACTTGCTGAAGAGATACCTTGCATTTCTGCTGTTGCTGTTGCTCTACTTGCTGAGGTAATCCTTAGGGGTGGAGGTGCAGGGAAAGAATAATATTAGTTTGTATTTGAAGGCATGAGATTGCGTATTAAAGGATATAATGACTTCATCTTGCTGATTTTTTTTTTTTTTTTCCTTTTCTTTCTCTCATAATATTTCTTGAGGTTGTAAAAAATGATCTTCTCAGTTTTTTTCATTCTCCTCTTTACAGTTTTCTTTGTGCAAAGACTTTTTGGATCCTTGCAAATATTGTTTTATGCATTTGAATTGTACCATTTTACTTGAAGCTGCATATGCATGTTGTCACTACAATATATTGTTGTGTGGCATTAGTTCTTTGCTTTTTCTGTAAGAATTTATGTATGAGTAAGTTGACAGTTAGTTAAGCAAAAAACCAGAAAGGTAGATAATAGTTCCATTCATATCATCAGCTTCAGTGGTTCACCAAACAACCAAAGTGATGATGTTAGGGTCATCATAAGGACGATTCACTTCTCAAGATTCTGAATAAAGGGGGGGGACATTATTAGTTATAGTTAAACCGTTTTATTCTTCTCTTGGCTTAAATCTATATTCTAATAATTCTTGAAAGCTGATATTAATTTTTCACTCTTGGATTAATATTTAATCAGCCAAAGCCCAGAATTGATTATACTCTGAAAGCTGTTGGTGGAAGTTTGACAGCAATTCCCGGAATTTCTGATATGATTGATGTGAGTTCTGTCTGTTTTATGTACTGCCTCTTTCCCCTGTACTGTTTTTTAAGTGACATTTAGAACACTAATATTTGCCCACCATTTCATAGGATACTGTGAACTCAATTGTTACTGATACGCTCCAATGGCCTCATAGGATTGTTGTTCCACTTGGCGGTATACCAGTTGATACTAGGTAAATATGAATCTTATAGAATTTTTTGCCTTTAGTTTTGTTTCTTACTAATTGCAGATGAAAACATGACTAGGCATGATGTTACTATGTATTATTAACAAAATCTTAAATTGGAAATTTTGTGTAAGTAAACAAATTGGGTATGCCAGTTTCAATGTTAATGGTCAAATATGTTTACACAACTTAAACAGCTCCTTTTTCTCTTTCTTGCAGTGAACTGGAGCTTAAACCCCATGGAAGGCTTAAAGTGACTGTAGTGAAAGCAAATGATTTAAAGAATATGGAAATGATTGGAAAGTCAGATCCTTATGTAGTTGTGTATATTAGACCATTATTTAAGGTTAAAACCAAGGTTATTGATAACAACTTGAATCCTATTTGGAATCAGACATTTGAAATGATTGCAGAAGACAAGGAGACCCAGTCACTCACTCTTGAGGTTTTACCCTACCAATACTTTATTAACTTCTTTTATGCTTCTCTCTTCTTCCTCCTTTCTTAGGGATATGCTGTGAGATTTTGTTTACACAAATATATCCTCTTGAAATATGCTAATTACTAACTTTAGAAATTGAAAAAAATTTAAAAATTTGTTTTCATATATGTTTAATATATGAAGATGAAAATCTAGTTAATTACCTTTAAAAGCATATTACATTCGTCCCGAGCATGATTACTTTTGGTTCACAGCTCAGGTGTTTGAACATTCTAAATCTGATCTTGAGCCAATTTTTCTTGGTAAACTAGATTTGCTTGAGCGTTCAAATGACCCCTTTCATGTTGGTTTTCTTTTCTTACGATTTAGTTAGGATACATGTGCATGTTCATGTTATGTGGAGTTGAGAGAAGTGTAAAATTATTAATTAGGTTTAAGAAATGTTGATACCTTACAGGCAGGCAAAGAATACTTGTTCAGAGTCTGTTATCAGTGGCAATGAGTGATTATTTTACACAAAAATGCAAATTTTGCATGAAATAATTCTGAAGTATAATAAACATGTTTTTTGTTGTGTTTGTTGTAATTTTTGTTTTTTTATAAACAAGAGATTAGTCTGTCTCTACACACAGTTGTAGCAGTTAATATTTTGATTTGAAATCCTTTTTTTCCCCTCTATAACTTAACATAAAACTGTTTCTATACCTTAATTGATTTAATACAACTAATATAAATGATGTTCATGACTCTCCAAACAGGTTTTTGATGAAGACATTGGACAAGATAAGCGATTGGGAATAGTACAATTACCCCTTATTGACCTGGAAGCACAAACTGAAAAGGAGCTCGAATTGAGGCTGCTGTCATCACTTGATACACTGAAGGTGAAAGATAAGAAGGATCGAGGAACCTTGACTATAAAGGTATATGCAATGATCTATATGTATTTGATGGTAGCATTGCTAAGGAGCTGTGCATAGTATATATAGATATAGATGAAAACTGAGGAATGGAAAGAAATTTTTTTCATTTTTTTCTTCTCTGTAGGTTCTCAGATCTTATTATCATTTGCATATTTTAAGCTATTCCTATTTGTTGGTCACTTAGAGCCCTCTTAGTTGATTGGAAATTATAATCAGGTTAGAATTTCAGGTCTTTTATTACCAGTTTAACAAGGAGGAGCAATTGGCAGCACTAGAAGAAGAGAAAAAGACACTAGAAGAAAGGAAGAAACTGAGAGCGGAGGGAGTGATAGGAAGCACAATGGAAGCACTGGATGGAGCAGTATCAGTGGTAGGGTCTGGTGTTGGAATGGTTGGTACTGGTGTTGTTGCTGGTGCTGGACTTGTGGGAAGTGGCGTTGGTGCTGGAGCTGGACTTGTTGGCAGTGGCATTGGTGCTGGAGTTGGTATTGTTGGTAGTGGTTTTGGAGCCTTTGGTAGTGGACTGACCAAAGCAGGAAAGTTCATGGGAAGGACAATCACAGGTCAAGGTGCTTCTAGAAGGAGTGGTTCTTCTACTCCTGTTACTAATGCTCAGGAGACTGGTGGAGGTGCAAAGCCTCTCTAGTTCCTTGCTGCAAGAGTAATGAATGGACCTTTTGCAGGTTCAAGCTTTGATTATAGAGATTTTACCTTTGTTGCTTCTTCTTTTTTTTCATAATGTTTTTTCTCCAAGGCTGGTAATAGACTAGATTGAAAAATGATAGCTGAAATGTCAATTATGTTTAGTTGTATCATCTTTTATCTGTATATTTGACTTGAATTTGTAATAAAACTTAACAAATTGTAAAAATTTCTTATTTATTGGAAACCATCAATGTGAGTATTGATGCTCTTATGAACAATCTTAACTTATGCAGCCTGGTTGGCTGTTAACCACTGGCTGAATTTGTTATATTGAACAAATGAATCAAACATCTTTTCCTGTAGGGAAGGATAGAAAGAACTTTAAATGAACCCTTCTTGATATGGCATCAGTGAATAACTAAACACTCTGGGCCACACGATAGATATGAAGGGTTTTATTTTTTATTTTTTTTCTTAAAACTACTTTGTGGAATACAAATAGTTATGAAAACAAGTGTTATTTTATTTTTTTGAAAATTAAAAGCCAAATCACAAAAAAGTACCAATTGATCATAATTATGCAAAATTCAGCATTGAAGGAGGATATTGTGTTGGGTCCATAATGGACCTGGCCTAATTAATAGGTGTCCTAACTTTTTATTTATGAGGTATGTTTAGACGTTGAGCCGTGAGAGAACAAAAACAACTCAAATATATTCTTTAAATTTGATTTTAAAAATAAAAAAATAGTTATAATTTTTAAAATGTTTTTTACAAAACAGACCTTATGAAACGATTTTTTTTTTTTTTTTCTGAAAATTAAAAAACTTTTTAGAAATAGAATCAAACGGGCCTTAAATTTTGAGATATCATAGATACTTAGCTGTAAAGTAGCTGCAATTTCAATACTTATTTTTTGTTTTTATATGTAAATTAAGTTTGTAACAAATGAATATGAAGTTTTGATTAGTGCATGGTTATTTGGAAAAAATATTATTTTTGTTATTGGATCCCAATGTTGGAAAAAGGCATATGAAACATAGGTTAACACAAACACCAAAAATTCATATTTTCCTTAAATATCATTTTCAAAAGGATGGCCTAACAAACACATTCATATAGTTCCTTCCAAAGTTCAAATCAATCAAAACCTTGATAAGCCTTTGGACCATTTATAATTTATTGGCTTCTATTATAGCCTCTGGCAATTGTTGTTTTTATTCACATCTCACTTGGCACCATAATTTAGAAAACGTTAATTTGCCACCCAATAGTATCATGGGACTGTATCCATTCCATTGATAGAGGTTGCAATACCAAAACCACTTGTACCCCGCACATTGAGGCACAATGCTAGTAAATCTATATTTCTTTTTCTTTTTTTTTGTAATAAAATCTATATTTCTTCAATGGTGGTTACTCCCATGGCTATAAAATTCCAATTCTCCAACGCTATAGGATCTTTCCTTGAACAATAACCTAGTTCTTATACAACATAACAACCATCTTAAAGCTATAATGTGACGTCTCAAACAACAAATACATAAACTAAAGATTATGTCACCTAATTTGTAGAGCAATCGCAACCTAAATTTCTAAACACCCAGGAAATATAGTTTAGCATACTAAGGTTTCTTAATTTAAAACCCTACATGTATTTAATCATAAAACATTGTTTGGAAGAAAAAAAATATATATTAATGGACTTTGATAGTGTATTCAGATTAAATTTGAAGTGGGTTTCTATATTTGCCCATCTGTTATAGCACTTCAAATTCATTGATAGCACATTTTATTATTAAATGATTGTTCAACAAAATTTAAATCAAAATCTAATGATACGGAATGCAAGAGATATCAAAATAAAAATTGTTAAAACTTTGTTGAACCAATTAAAAAAATTATTGATATTAGTTGGGTATATGAGTAATTATAATTGCTATCTCTAGCTAGTTATAAAATTAAGCACATAATAAATAATTATATTGACATATCTACGAAAATGAATTTAATAAAAAAAAAAAGGTAAGAAAATTGTCATAGAATAATTGGCTGGAATTGAATTCTGTGACTTCACGGGATCATTATGATGCAGATAATTCGTATGGTGAGTTTGTCCACTAATCTGCCAAGGCACCATACCATTGTTAATTCCTTTGGTCCTTGCTCTCAGAAAGGAGTCAGAGGACATGGCACATCCTCCATGGCACTTTAAATTAAATAATGGATCATTGCTGCTCCTTCTAATGCAGATTTATTGTATCTTTGAATTTTGGTATTGGTATGGAATAAAAGACGCTTTGTTTTTTTCAAAGCATTAAATACAGAGATATTATATTATTATTATCAATTAGTTTATTATTAATATTATTATCAATTTATTTTACTCGATTATGTTTATTCAATTATTTTATTCATTTTTATTTTTATATGGTTATAATTCTTCATATTTAATGTTTTCATATTAAATATTAAAAATCATAAATATTAAATATAGAGAAAAGAAAGAAAAATTTTAGAAAGTTAAATTAGAACTATTGATTAACATAATCAATCTAACGGTAAAACAAACTGATAATAATATTTATAATAACACTAATTAGTAGTAACAACATCCTATCTCTTAAATATAAATATTAACCCTGCAAACAATGTGTCAAACATCCAAACTAGCCCTAGCTAAAGAAAAAAAAAACTGAAATGCAGTAACCAGTAAGGATTACATGTGTGTATGAGAACATTTTCAGAAATATTTGTTTTTATTTTTAGTCTCAGAAACAGAAATAATTAAAAATAACGTTTGTATAAAATCGGTTTATTTTTTATTTATAATTAAATGTATTTTTTTTCTCAAAAACTCTTCTTAAATACAAAATTTAAAAAAAAAATTAAAGAACAAAATCATTCTCATACACATTCTAAGTAACACATAGGAAGAGATTTAAGTGAACTCATGAAGCTGACTTTGAGCTTTGGGAAGGAAGTCAAGGAACCATTTGATTTGAGTAGCAGAACCCCAATTGTTTACAAAGACCTAGTATTTTTTATTTTAATTTTTTTGGGGGGGTTTTATAGGTTTCATGCTATGTGGCTACTGGCTATGAGATCAATGGTTTTCAAGAGGTTTCCACTTTCTAAATATTACTAGCTAAGGCGTTTGTAGCATATCTAAGATTCAACCAAACAAGAAGAAATAATCTTCTTGTTGAAAAAAAAAGGAAACTAACCTTTTAGGAGGATCTCTTTAAGAAAGGTTTAGCAACAAACAAATTCGGTATGTGACAAATAGTATCTATCTAAGATGCTATAATATCTTATTTCGATATATGACAAATTGACATTATTACACCCTTAAATAAGTCTTTGAGTTTTATAATTTTTTTTTTTCTATGGTCCCCTGAATTGAAAAAGAATGTCGAAGAATAAAATGATGGAGTAGCATGGCTTATTTCTTCTGTGCAGAACATGAACAGGTTACCCGAAAGAAGAGGACAAAAAAACAGTGGAGCATACACTAATACAATAATGAACAAATCAGTGGTGTTCACAAAACCTGAATACGACAACCACCTCATTCTCATTTGAACGTTAATACAAATGCACTGTTGAGGATACTAACAATTTGTTGTATGAAGACAAACATCACTGTCCCTTTCCTTGTCATCAAAATGGCCAAACCTTTACATTGCTGTAGTAAGACCAAACTCTTAAAAGAAAAAGGAATTTTAAAAATATATATATATATATATATATATATATATATATATATATATATAAAAATTTTTATTTATTTTTTGTTCCCAAGAAGGTATATTTGAATGAGATTAATCTACTTCGTGACATAAAATATGAAGGATTTTACCGCTGACCAAATTACTTAAGATTAGAACCAGAGACATTAAGCCCAAACAATCCATTTCTTAGACACAGCTCATTTACCAGTTATGCTACCGCTTAGATTTTAAAAACAAAGGAGCCTATTCTTGAGCCAAGCCATCAAAATATTACATGACCTATTACATTGTGAACTTTAAGTCAATTTACATATTTAAATCTCAAATATTAATATCAATGGCGGAGTTACGTTGTATGTGAGAGCCTTAGAGCCTGTTTGGATCCTCTTATTTTTAAGCTAGAAGCTACTTATAAGCTAAAGCTAAAAAAAAGAGCTTAAAAAAATAAGCTAAAAGCTGTTTGGAAATTACATAAAAGTTTTAGCTTAAAAATTACTTAAAAGCACATATTTCAAAAAAATTATCTCTTTCTATCTTTATCACTCTTTATTTAAAAAAAAAGCACACAATTCAAGAAAAACAGATAAGAGCTTAAATAAAAGCTCCTCCTAGGAGCTTTTAATTTTCAGCTTTTTTCTTCATTATAAAAAAAAGAGCTTTTCGTTATAAGAGTTTTTCCCAAAACCTGTTTGGCCTAGCTTATCCTTATAAGTAGCTTGTAGCTTAAAAAAAAAGAGGATCCAAACAGGCACTTAGCCTCAACTTATTTAGGAAATTAGTCACGTTTTTAACTTGACTAAATAGTTGTGACTAAATTTTTGGATAAAATTTAGTGTTTAGCCCCATCTAAATTTTTGTTGGTTCTAGCTCAATGACTGAGTGGCTCTCCACTGAATATCTGTTTGAAAAAAATAATAATTTAGAGAACATGGATTTGCTTTACTCTCAAGCTATACGTTTGATCATTGGTTTTCATATCCATGCTGCATTTGATCATAGTTTTGCATTATTTTTAGAACTAATTTCTCAAAATAATAAGATGATAAAAAAAAGGAATTCTAATTATGAAGTACAGATACAAATACGAGACACAAGTATAGTATGATAAAGAGATATATAAATACAAGTTGTAAAAATTATAAGACATGACGCGATTCACATAATATATAAAATTAATATTATGTTAACATAAAATTATAAATTTGAATTTAGAATAAAAAATAATTTCATATAACTCTGCATTTATATGTAGTTTGAAAAAATATCAAGAAAGTATCAATTATTTTTCTCTAACTTTATCTTTAGTATTAAAAAGTGAGTGAGAGAAAAATTAGTAAAATGCCAATAAAAAATTGAGCATTTTAGTTAAATAAGTAATTAATTATGTTATTTATTTTAAGTGGTTAAATGACTTGTATAAAAAATTAATGAATTTGTAGTTAACAATAAGTTAATTCAGTTTAATAAATA